GGCCCGCGCTGCCGGCCCCCGCCACCACCCATTGGCCGCCGCGCTGCACCATTGTTACGTCACGAGTCGGCGGGCGGGGCGCCTAGGGGGACCCGCGGAAAAGTTGGGAGAAACTTGAGGGCGCGCGGGGGGCGGGGCCGGGATGGGGAGTGAACGGGGCGGGGCTCCCGGAAACCCGAGTGGCCGGCGAGAAAAGGCTCCGGGTTTCGAGCTCCCGGCGACGGGAGACCCGCGCCGGGAAGGGCCCCTGGGCCCCGCCTGCTGTGCCCCGGCTCAGTGGGAGACTGGGCGCGCACTTAGGCGCTCCGGCTCCGCCGAGCGTGACTTTCTTCGGCACCCCACGAGTCGTATTCCACATCCCCTTTACGCTGACCCTCTGTGACCTTGGGGATGACCTTCTCCGGGACTTTTCTGGGACTGTACGTGGAGGGGTCGGGGCGTAGGAACTGTCACCCCTAAGGGCCCTGGCCGCTTTCTGCCCGGGAGGGGCGGGGCGTCTCGAGCCCCTGCTCCATGCTGACTTTCCCAGGGTACGAATGGATGAACGGATGCAGACAGCCATTTATGAGGGCTTAGTGTGTACCAGTCTCTGTGCTAAACATACTTGATTTCAATTCATTTTCGCAACCGGTAGCCGTGGGAATTATAACTCCTAATTCACCGGCCAGGAAATCGGGGCTCACTGGGAGGTGACCTCCAAGTGAGGAGAAGCTAAAAGGGAAGCTGGGCGCTTCCCTTTCTTTCCTTCAGACATTTGTGGTGGATGGGGCCCTGACCACCCCGGCCTCTCCACAAGGGGGCCAAAGTGTGGAGCACACACGTGCAGGAGAGCCACCAGATACCCCCACCCAAAATGCCACCCACCTCAGTGCAACATGGCCCTGCAGGCCCTACCGTACCTCTCAGGGGGTCCATGATCATCACCAGATTTACAGAAAACGATCATGGGCCAGGGGTGGGGGGGTACAGGGAACACTGGGCTGGGAGTCCAGGGTCTATCTCTGCCCCACCTCACCTGTCCTCTCCTCCCTGCTTTAGTCCTCAGTCTCCCTACAATTTCTCCCAGCTGTCCTTTTCCAGACCTCTCTGATGGGTGGGGCAAAGTGAATGGAAATCCTGGGGTTGCACGGTTGACACTGGCCTTCTGGAGCCCCCAGACCCTGGGAGACAACGTAGGGAGGTGTGTCCCAGGTGAACTACCTGTGGCTCAAGACGCTAGCTGCCCTGCTCCCATGTCCCCATTCTATCCTTCAACGGCTGGAGTGAGACCTCACACCATCTCCATGGCTGCTGGTGGAATGAGGGTGACAGGGCATCGGCTGTAGGTGCCTGGTGTGCAGCTGGCCTCGGGGCAGGTCTCCCTCCACCCCTCGAACCCTCCTCGGCTCCCCCTTTGATGTGCCCTCGTCACTCCTCGCTGGGATTCCCGAAGCCCTCTCTCAGAATCAAGTCCGACCCTGAAACAGGAGGGAAGGGGGCAGGGCACAACCTTTAAAAGAATGACACAGCCCGAGGACACTACACAAACTGATTAGGACCAAAGAGGTCCAGGATGGTGAACGAGTCAACTTCCACTAGACCTTGAGCCTCAGTATACGCTCCTTGTAATATATTAGCATATGCTAAATGACACACCCACAGGCGCCACGACAGTTCCAAGGCCAGCCATAAAGGTCTAAAAGTGGGCGGTGGCCCAATTCCTGGAAATCCCGCCCCTTCCCTAAAATAGCTGGAATACTCCTCCCACTCATTAGCCTGTGAAACTACCCACCCCTATAAGAACTGACAACCCTGTACCCTGGGGCCACTCTCTCCTTCTGAGATGGCCCACACTCTGTCTTGTGGAGTGTGTTTATCTCTAAAGAAATCCACTTCTTACCCATCACTTTGTCTCTGACTGAATTCTTTCTGCGATGAGACATCAAGAACCTGAGCTTCATTAAGTCCTGAGACCAGGTGTGTGATCTCAGTTAAAAGACCGTGGGTTCGAGTCCCAGCCTGTGGGTCCAAGTCCCAATCTAAGCTGCACGGTTTCAACCCCATTTCTCCACTACTTAGAAAGCTTCCCATGGACATGGACTTAGCCAGAAAGACCAAGTGGGGCAGAGGAAAGGCATTCCTGGCCCGGACACAGCTGCAGCAAAGGTCTGGAAGCGGCAGAGGGAGGCTCCAGAGGTCAGTTGGGAGGGACCGGGAAGCATAGGGCCTTGAATGGCTAGACAAGGAGCTTGGGTGTGTCCAAGGACCTGGAGGTTTGGAAGTTAGTGGATTATTTCAGGCATACAAAACGATAATATAACTTTGAAATGCCTGGGAGCCCATGAGCCAGTTTAAGAACTAACATGTGGGGAAATCTGAAGGCCTGCGTGCCTGTCCTGCCGCCCAGTCCCAGCGCCGGCGCTTTCCCACGGTGGCAGCTGACACTGTAACCCTCCCCATCACGCTGTCAGCGCGCCCTCTCAGCAGCTTGCCTTTTTCTCCCACGGTCACTTTTAGACTCACGCTCTGGGGTACGCGCCGCTCTGGGTCACATGTCATCTCTGTTGAGTCTTCTGCTAGTGAAAGCTGTCCCCTGTGCCCAGCACGTGTGTGGTCCCCCAGTGCTGCTGTGAACAGCCTGCCCGCGCCTCCGTGGGGCTGTGGCAGAGTCTGGGGCGGCGATGGGGGGAAGTGCTCCCCCTAAGGAAGCAGCATCCTGTGCCTGCTGAGGCTGCGAACGAGGGTGGGGGTGGGGAGTGGGCGGAGGAGGGGCAGAGGGCTCAATTCCCAGAGAGACTAAGGGGGCCTGGGAGTGAGAGGACTGCCCGGCTCAGGCCTGGCTCACCAGCACAGCCTTCTAAGTATGGCTTTGACCTTTGACCCTGTCATGCTCCCCTCTCTCCTGGGAGAGCTTGTCCCGCCCCGCCCCCCCCCCCCCCCCGCAGGCTGGCGGCGTCAGTGTGCGGCCAGGTCGGAGGGGTAGTGGGCGAGGCTGCAAATACAGACGGACCCCAAGGTCAGTGGGAGGACTTCGGGGGAGCCAGGGCTCCGAGCAGGGGCTGCCTTGGGTTTTCTCAGGCTCCCTCTCACCGCGGGGAGCAAACCCCAGGAGGAGAGGGTGGAAGCCCCAGTAGCTGACTGGCCTGGGAAGGGGTGGCAGGGCGAGCGGCATGGAGGGCACTGGGACAAGCAGCGAATTCTGTGTGGACTCTGACCAGCTAGGGTGGGTGTGAGAGGGAGAGAACAGTCTAGAATGCCTCCCGGGTCGGGGAGGAGCAGGGGGTGGGGCATCCCTGAAGATGCCTGTCAGCCACCTTGGGGTGTCCATGATAACGGGAGGTGGAGGGAGAAGCCCTGCTGGTGACATACAGCTGGGGGTCACAGGAGAGAGAAGGCACTGAAAGCATGACACCCGGAGTGAAGGCTCGGGGACTGCCCTGGTGGTCCAGTGGCTAAGACTCTGCGCTCCCAATGCAGGGGGCCCAGGTTCGATCCTTGGTCAGGGAACTAAGATCCCACATGCCGCAACTAAGACCCAGCGCAGCCAAATAAATTAATTAATTAAATAAAACATTAAAAACAAAACAAAACAAAATGGAGTGAAGGCTGGGAGGCCAGGCTGGAACATCTAGCATGTAGGGATGGGGAGAGGCCCTTGGAAGTCAAAAGAGCCCAGGTGTCCGGAGGATGAGGGAGTGGCCACCTGGGACAAGTGCCACCAGCGGGTCAGGAGGATTTGGCTACATGGAGGTCATGGTGCCCTTTACAGAAGGTCATGGGACTGCAGGAGAAGCCTATGTGGAGAGGAGCGCTAGGGGAGGGACTGGGAAAGATGTGTAGGGAGGAAAGGGGGGCTGGAGGTAAGTGGGTTAAAGAATAAAAGAGCAGAGAGACACCCCTGGTGGTCCAGTGGATAAGACTCCGGGGTCCCAGTGTAGAGGGCCCAGGTTCGATCCCTGGTCAGGAAACTAGATCCCGCTGCGCCTAAGACCTGGTGCAAGCTCAATAATAAATACTTTAAATAAAAAAAACCCCTGGAGCCACGTGTGCACGCAGGCACGTGTGCATCTGTGCACGCAGGCACGTGTGCATCTGTGCACGCAGGCACGTGTGCATCTGTGCACGCAGGCACGTGTGCATCTGTGCACGCAGGCACGTGTGCATCTGTGCATGCATGTGTGCACACATGTCCACGTGCAGTGTGCTGCATCTTGCACACGTGTGCATGTGTGCAGCACACTGATGCGCCAAAACACCGATGCAGGAAGGACCTATGGAGCCATGACCTGGAGGCCAGCAGGGACTGCGCGGCCACGAGCGGAAGGAAGGCCCCTGCCACGGGCACGGACAGTTTTTCCTGAGGGGCAGAGGGTTGGGCATGGATGCCAATGAGAGCACAGGTAAAGGTGAGTCAGAGAAGTCTACTCAGGTGGCTTCTATTTTCAAGGTCATTCGCTTGGAGAGACAAGGGGTGGAGGGCGGTGCTTGAGGAGAGGGGTTCATTGACCACAGGGAGATCCTCCCTGACCTGAGCCCCAGCTGCCCCCAGCAAGCCCAGCAGAGCCTGTCATCAGAGCAGGGGGGATCCGGCAGGTGGCCCAGGACTGGGAGCACG